AGCTCCGCTGTCGACTTTGTCGAGCGGAGCTTATCATATGAGTGATTGTCCGTCGTCGTCCGTGTCAATGTTTTACTTTTTCGACTTCTTCTTGAAAACTACAAGCCTGAATGCTTTGATACTTGGTGTATATGTACTTTGGGTAGACCTCTCTTAGGTTTGTTCATTTCATGTTGATATCTTCAATTCTCTAATTTTGGTGAATATTTTTGTCATTTTTGGTAAAAAGTGATATTTTCGACTTCTTGTTAAAAACCGCAAGTGCAAATGCTTTGATAATACATATATAGGTACTACATGTGGACCTCTCTCAGATTTGTTCATTTTGTAATGATATCTTTAATTCTCTAATTTTGGTGAATATTTTTGTCATTTTTGGTAAAAAGTGATATTTTCGACTTCTTGTTAAAAACCGCAAGTCCAATTGCTTTGATACTACATATATAGGTACTACATGTGGACCTCTCTCAGATTTGTTCATTTCGTGATGATGTTCGTTTTGTGATGATATCTTCATTCTCTAATTAATTTATTTTGGTGAATATTTTTGTAATTTTTGGTAAAAAGTGATATTTTCGACTTCTTGTTAAAAACTGTAAGTCCGATTGCTTTGATACTATTCATATTGTTCATTTTCTAATGATGTCTTCACTTCTTTAATTGAAATGTGCATTGCTAACAGCGGAGCTATCTCAGCCGATAGGCTGCTTGTTAAACATAAAAGTCAGGGACCGATGATCGCAACAGCAGCGGTGAATACCCGTTGAACGCAATGCCGTCAGCTGACAATGTTACGGTGATCGTAGCGATACACAAATAATAGATAGATCAATGAAAAATCGCTGACTTTAGTTTTGAAATGCCGTTGTAGAAAAAAATGTCATTATTGATTTATTAATTTCTTCATATTTTGATAACCCGCAATCTTGCAGATTTTACAAATTTAACAAACTGACAGTAACATTGGCACTAAAACTGACTGTACTTGTACACAAAATAATGATGAACCAGTTACCTCCACGGATAAACAATATATTTACTGACTGGCTATAAGTATTTCCATTTCTTTCCTGTTCTATTTCAAACTTTATTTGACTTGATGCACACATAAAACACAATGAATGTAAATGATATAAAATATATGAGATATGTATCTCTTCTTTACTCAGTTATAATGTTTGTTGGGGAAACTAATTATTATGCAAACAAAATTATGCAAATAAGATGTATTGTTATGTAAATTAGCCGCGATGCTTGGCTTAGAATCTGGGGAGAACACTGAATGCATTAGATAATATCAACGTTACAATGCAAATGTCATGGTATTTTAACATTTAAAGACACATTCTGAATTATTTAGGCAACAAAAGTGTTGTTTTAGTTATGGGTCAAGGTTAACCTCAGATTGGAAGGAAACAACTGTCAGTACTGATACTGAATACATTCTTTAACAGCTTTACTATGTGGCAGGAGAAATGTTAATTATATGCTAATATAATTTATTAAATGTCGATAGTGTCTCGATTTGTTATAAACTCTTATAATTTCGGGTATGTGTACAGAGGATACATCTGCTCAGCAGACAGGGCTAATTTTCCTCGAATATTAAACGAGTTTGGACCTCTGACCATGGAGCTAAAATGCTCTGACCAACTACGTATAGCGACGGATACACACTTACTTGTCCAGCCTTCGACATTGAAAATGAATTGAGCTGAGAAGCAGTAAAACGCTTGTATTTTCGGGTTCCTGCTTCCATAATTGCATGCAGTGACGCTCGGACTGTTCATAGTCACCGGCTTGGTATTCTCGGTGAGCCAACTCCGCTAAACCTGGACAAAAAATAGATCTATAAACACCCATCGAAGATTGAATTCCACACTAATAAGTGCCAGCTAACAACGCATCGTGATATTTATTATACAAATGTGTCACACAGAACATTTTTTAATTTCCCGAACGACCGGTTCACATTAATCCTGAGGCAATAATAAACTGCAAAAACCAAAATGTCAGCACGTCAACGCACAATAAAAAAAAAAGTGTCTAAAACCAATGGAATACTACCATACGAGACCGATCACAGTTAACATTGAACATTCTGTCTGATCTATAAGCTATAATTCACACAAACACTTTAACTTACCGGTGGTGTCGGTCATGGTAGGCATAAATTCGCGTATTTTTGATAATTCCAGTAACTTCTATTGTTCAAACATGCGCCATATGCTGGTCTCAAGACTGTCGGTCGGAGGTGGTAAACAGTCTACTAATTAAATATTCAATATTCCTCCGCATAAAAACGTTCCGCGACAACAAGTGCTTTTTTTTTATTTGGAAAAATCACAATAATGGTTTCCGTTGGCTAAATTGCTAATATGTTAAAAACAGACTTCATGGCAGTAATTCAAATATAATAAACATGACACTGACAAGTTTAATAATACATCCCAAAGGGGCGGATGAATATCAAGCGAATAAGGCAAAGCAGTGCGTACCTGATTCGTGCGTCACAAAATGGCGACTGTAGTATAAGAAGTGTTGTGTTCTAAAATTTATGGGGATTTATATGCATTGAAGAGTACTCTCGATTAATTAATATTGTAAATACAAGCGGTATAGTGACACTCTTTTCGGATTTCGGCAAATGTGTATTTGGTACTTTTGTTTAATTAAATTACATTAGGCTTTACCCTGTACACGTCATTGGCTTTTGAATAAAATAATTTGCATCAGACTGGGGCACGTGATGTGCACAATTATTCAAAAAATGAAGCGTTTCGTCGCGAATTTCTCGAATATGTTAATTCAAATGATAAAAACGTTAACGCGCATACTTTTTTTTTCTGAACTTCATAAATCTGTGGCCATCATGAGCTTCCGAAAAAACCTTATTGTCACGTGATTAGAACGATTCAAATAATCGATGATGCCTTCCATATTTGGAAAATTATTTCAAGTGTTGAGAACTTTGATTGGCTGTTGATGACATCATTAGCCTTATATGGATTCCGGGACAGGTTCACTGCGTGGAGGCACACACCCATTTTCTGAAAGCGATCTCCAGTTGTCTGGCTTGTAGTCACCACCGCTCCTCGTATTGCACTCAGTCAAGATTGTCAAGGGTAAAAAGTTGTAAGTATTTTTTGTCTGTATATTCTTCAAATAATTTTTTTTCATGCAGTCTTTCTCGTCATTGGTATCTGAACACTCCACTGTCTGCATCAACTTATTAGAACAGAATTTGCTACTTTTTCCAGGTGCCCCTCCCCACTTTGCTCTTGTTCCTAATCCCATTTCCTCATTTTTTCTTTTACTTAAATGAGACAATTTCATTTAGCGAAATGTGGCCTGAAGAAGGGGAAAAACAAATAAAAACCTGTGTAGCATGTCCGAATTAACTAATGACATTGTGATAGAAATGAATGCCCTATGATGAGATTTCTGTTTTGCTTTCACCAGTGCTTTCACATCCGCCGTAGGTCAGACGGGGGTTTCAGACCGAGTTGGTCATTATTTGTCACTCTGCCAGTGGAGCTTTTGTTCATTATTTCTTTATATAAATCGACAATTATTCAACAACCTAGTCTGCATTATTTCAGAATATAATGCAAGTACAGATCAACAAGCTTAACCAAAAAGAGAAAGTTGTTGAAAAATGAAACAGTTATATATGTAGTTGTTTTGCACGGGATGTTCGCTTTTGAATGGGAGGTTATTTTTAATTTTCAAGTAATTATGCACCCGTTATAGTAAGACTGTCTAGTCTAGAGTGCACATTTTACTGCATGATCTTGTGACCCACGCTCGTACTCTCGGTGATCAGTTTACAAAATCGTGATTCTGAAAACTAATGCGTTTTTCCAGTTCACAAGGGTTCACCGTGTTTGGCGTAAACTTTTTTTTACATCGGAACTCAAAAAATATAATTTCTTTCTAAATTGTACTTAAAAACATTCCCCAAACTTGAATTCTGCTTGATTTTTTTTGTAACTTGTGCACTTCCTCTTTGTACAAGGAAGTAATTATTTTCCCACAAGGAAATAGGTTAGTTCCACATTTCTGTTTCCGCTGAACTATAATTTGCAACAAAATATCCTTTTAGACATTATTTTGGTATAATTAATACATTAATTGTTCTACAAGAGGCTTCAATGGTAATGATCAATAAATGTAATATTTTGTAGATGTCCTTCTATATATAAGGCAATAATGTACTGTATTTCATTGCATTCTTAGATTTATTTTACTTTATTGGTGTACAGCAATACAACAATTCTATAAACAATGTGTTGGTTTAGAAAAGATTATGAATAAACAATAAGTTAAAAAAAATAATCAAATTTTAAAAATAGGAGCTTTGTAAAAGACCTTAACTCTTTGCTTTATTGATGTTTTTTTCTTCAAAAATATGTGGAGCAATTTTAAAGTTTTGGTTCTGGTCTTCGGATAACATTAAAAAAAAACACCTTAACAATCAAGGTTCCAAAATTTCACCAAATGCTTAACATGTTATGTCAGCATTCTTTGCAATTGCCAGCCTCTAATTAGCTATCTGGTACCAGGACATAATTTGTGTGATCAGTGATTGATATTGTACTGCTTGGCAATCTCTATTATGTTAATCAGATTACATGTAATAATAATAATACCAGTTCCGTTAATCATTAACTGGCTAATTTTAGAGCATTTGAAAGACTCGATCAGATTTGTCAGCTGTGTAACCAGTTCCTCAATATTATCGGTATATTCCAATCCTGGAAATTTATATTAACAATCAAATACAAAATAAAGAAATTAAATTAGTCGGTGAATTAAAAATGGTTTATAGACAGGTGATCTTTTATATGTGGATGTTAATTTTTTTTTTTCCATGGATTTCCAATTTTTATATTTAATGCATTTGTCCTGGAAAAGAAATGTTACTGTTGTAAAAATCATTTTTAGGTGGTAAAAAAAAAGATGTTTGACCTGAAGAAATGAAAAAATATTTTATAAATAGAATGTTTATTTTTGTCAAAGAAAAGTTGTCTCTACAGTGCAGGTAGCATGTATGTTGTGCTTTGAGACTGCCACTGTATGCAGAGAGGGAGGGGGTCTTTGTATAGAGGTAGTCATTAACACCAGTTTGACTGCATATCAAAAATGAAGTGGGTCATTTTTTTGCATACTAAGAAAAAGATTAATACAAGAAAAAAAACATTTTTGTGCCTTTCCTAAAAATTGCTCATGTTAAAAAAATAATACTGCAAACACATTAATTTCTCACTGTTTTAATATTGCATGTACTAACATGTGATATCTGAAAATATAAACTATTACAATAGAATGATGAAATTAGGGAAATTTTGTGAACTTTACAATGACATGGTGTCTACATATCCCAGCTATCAAATTGTATTAATTGGTGATTGATTAAATATTGACTGAAGAATTTCAATAGTCTGTGGAGTTATTTTGGGGTGCACTATGACCACCACCTGTCAATAATTGTTGTCCTAATCAAGTGACAATAAATTTATTGGGATTTGAAAAATACTAAAAGTGGTACACTCATTACAAAGGAAGAATACAAATCGATACATATGACACTTTTTTTTTTCTTGGCTATGATTAATTCAAGGAGTGTTCACTGGTCATCAGGTTTCTAATACTCATTGATATTTAGGAAGTGTCTAGACTTCCTTCACAGTGATACAGTATGAGCAAGTCTTTTACAAGCCTGCATGAATCACAACATTATCAATGTCATTTTAGATGACAGTAATGTCAATGTGGAAGCAACAGTACTATAAATATGGTTCTGAAGAGTTGCTATTTGACAATTCTCAAGTCCCCCAAACAATTTCAGAATCGAACAGTTTTTTTTTCATCTCCCCACACGCACACACACACACATGCATGCACACATAAAAATCCTTTGTTTTTCTGACTTAACTGTTCCGCTTCATCAATAAGAGAATAGAAAGTAGAATAAGTTGATTTATTGTTTGGGTAATTGTTGGATGTTCTTTATATGTTGCTATGAAGCACTTCTCAGCTGTGAAGCTATTTTTGGCCTGAATTATTTGCATAACAATGAGCTGTCAGTTAACAGTTTTTATTGTGGCTAATAAAGTGGCCAGGTATAGAAGATGCCATGTCTTTCATTGTCGCAGTGTTATAAGTAGAGAAATTTTTGTCTACTTCTCAAACTTGGTTATTTTTAGATGAGAACAATTCAGGAAGTGTTTAACTTAGTTTTTTTTTCAGATTGACTTGTGTAAAGAAGAAAAAAATCCAGGCATCATAGATTAAATAACCATTAGTCAGAACAAGGTTTTGGAGTGAAGCTATTTAATTGCCGAACTAGTTGCATCAACGTTAAGCCATTCAAATGTTGATGGATTGCATTATAATGTGTTCTTGTATCTTTAGAAATTACATTTTTACACCAACCATTCTATAACAGATAGTGGTAGCTTTGGAATCATACCCATACACTACCGGTAATACTTACACTTATATGAAGTATTGGATTCTTGGTGTGGATTGAATAGAAACTAAATATTAGCTATATTTGGAAGCAAAAAGAATGCTAGCTACATTTTGAAATTGAAAATAAATTTGAGGTCATGGTTGTCAATGTGTGGACCTATTGGAATACTATTCAATTGTTTGCTGCTTCTCAACCTACACATTAATTCTTAGGTAAACAAAAATAATACTCCACCTAACCACCACCCACAATATTTTAAACAATTTTTTAGCTGATATGTAGTAAAGGTTTTACAATATTAATATTGACAGCTGTGCTGCCCCAGGGGTAACCTAATTCTCTTGGAAATGTGCACAACTGGCATTATAAACAAGAAAATAATTACCAGTAACTGCAATACAGTTATTGTCGTTATTTGAAGATGCTTAAAACACCAGTTATTATGCAAGCTTCGTTGCAGCTTTAGTATATTGTTGATTTTTTTTAAATATTATTAAATATTTTTTTCAACAGGCAAGTCAACATAACATTTTCTCTTCTGACTTTATGTGCAAATGTTATGTTCTGATTGAAATAAGATAGTTTAGTGTACCGGGTATATGGTCATCCTAGTGTACCATAACAGCTATTAGTAGTGCATACATTTAGGTAAAAGACACGAGTGGGTATGGTCAAAATTGAGATGATTTGGCATAAAAAATACAATTTTTTGCTATATACTACTAGAGCAAATAGGTTTTTGTAGAATTGTTTTCAAATCTTCCATGCTTGGTGTTGAGACTTAGAAAGTTTAATACAATTGTATGAAAAAAATCCAGTGTCATGGCCAATACCAGATATACCAGTAACCCCTATTAAATGTTGCTGGTAATTTTGGGTGAAAAGGTCAGATGATCTATTGAATGTTGCTGCTATGTCAACTTGAATTGTTAGCATAATATTGTAATGCACTGTATAATGAAGGTGGTCTCCCCCAAGCCAAAAATCGTGTTTGCATTGATGCTACTCAATTCAGTAATTTCATATTTTAAAATATTCTGAAATGCCTTTCAAAATTCAAAAACTCATCAAAGCTTTTTTGTATTGTAGGTAGTTTTTAATCTCTGGTTTTCTAAAGTGCATGTATGGATTTTTTTTTTTTATTAGGTTTTCTGATATCATTAAGATGCACTTGTCAAATGTGCACAATACTAATTTTTCATTTTGCTAGACTAATTATTAGTATGGAAGTAGCTGTGAAAATTCTTTCACTGTCGTTCTTTGGTTTTAGATTTCGGTCTAGAATTTTAACACAATGGTTTAATTTGGCCAGAATGCACAACTATGCGTACAATCTTAAATATCATATTGTAGTTTGAATAATAAACGAAATTTTAATTTATGATTTTGATTTGTGTAATGCAAAGACTGCCAATGAGTTTTGTGCTGTCGACAATGCAGTATACATAGTTATGCAAAACTACATAATGCTACAGTTAGAGCGATGACTTTTGTCACTTCTATTACGGTTAGTTATCCCGGTATCGGTATTCTTCTAAAAAAAATCTAAATGATGGGGCATTGGAAACTGCAATTAACCTTAAAACGATGCACACAGTTGTTCACCTAAGAGTAAAGTAAGCAAATTTTATTATAATCAAAGCTACATTTCTTTCCAGTGTGATCTTTCATCGTCTTCACTATCCAATCACGACTCACAATGAGTGATAAACCAAGCATCGAAGAAGTCACAAAGTTTGACAAGAGCAAACTGAAAAAGACAGAAACACAAGAAAAAAATACATTACCAACAAAAGAAAGTAAGTACACGAGCACACACTCATGATTAATTTTATGGGTACTTTATCAGTCTCCAATCAGTGCGAAAACGGAGACTTCTAGATTGACCTGTCTGTCAAAAACAAGCATTTCTGGCATTCCTGAAATGGATCTTTGCTGTTTAGAGGGGTTTTGTTCAAACTTAGTACATACATACATACATTGGACATTATGCGACCTTGATGCACGTCGTTTTGTTTTTCAGATCAGATTCAAAATGGTAGACAGGTTACCATTTTGTTTTAATGAATGCGGTTCTAATGTCATCTGCCATGCTTTGACTGATGCTTGAATTCATTGTACATATTGTCATAGATATGCAGATGTATTGTTTTGACTATCTAACCGATAGCCATTTTGTTTTAATTAATGCTTTTCCAGAGCAATGTCTTTCAATATGAACAGGTACAAGATAACTGAATGTCAGTCGTTTTACTGTTAAAAAAAATCATCATCAATCAAGCATCAGCTTCTAAAGTTCCCCATGTATTTGTTTTTTTGCAGCAATTGCTCAAGAAAAAGCGGACAATGCCTGATTGGTAGAAAATCTATTGTTCCAGTGTACATCCATTTATGCTTCTTTACATTTTTATAAGCAATTTCTACCATCTTGAAACAAAGTTATAGTTTTCAAATCCTAATGTAATTTTCCAGCAGTTCAAAATATATGCAATAGATCATAACTTTTTCCTCCTGTATTGGTATGCAGCTGATTTGTGAAATCTTTGTATAACAGAATTGGTTACCACTTGCCATTTATAATTCTTAGTGATGTAACTTTAATCTTGCCAGCAGACTATATTTGCATGTTACATGGGTGGAAGTGCGTGTTTTGTTTGCCAAGTTAAACAGGGTGAAACGTAAACCAAATTACAAAAGTTTATTGGTTAAGTTTATCCTGGTGTTGGCAAAGCGTACATTAACTTGTCACCCATGTTTCTGTGATAGTAATGGACTGCACAAGTTAACAGAGGGATGGATACCTTATTAGTGCACAACTTGTTTCACCTCAGTTAGTCAACCCAAATGCTTTTGTATTGTAGAGTTAAATACTTCAATATTTAGTAGGTTAGGCATTTATTCCACTACAATGATGCATTGTTGCATAAAATAATGGACCAAGAATGAAGATGAGTGAACTGTATATGTTGCAATCTACGAGTACTTGTTTGCCAATGTGATGTTTGATCTAGCTTTTTGGTTCAGTTTAAACTTGAATTTCATTTTGCAAGATGTTGAAAACTAATTTTCCATCAATTAAAAATTTGAAGTTTTTGATACATGTGCATTTATATTACTATTTGAAAGCAACATTGCCAAATTTAAAATTTAAATTTTTTTATTTGATGGAAGATGTGCAGTGGTGGTATGGTATTCAAATTACAATTTTATTTTGTATGCATTAGTAATGGAATAAAACACTCAGAGCAAATAGAGAAATAAATAAGCAACTAGAAATAGTTTGTCATCTTGAGTGCATTTGTCTAGAAATAATACTATTTTTTTTTTTTTAAAGGAAATTCAGAGTGGTGGTTTGTTTACATGTTAAACAAGTTGTTTGGGTTAGAATCTTGTAATGACAGTTTTCAACCAAAAACTGTTAATTCTTCAAATTCAAACTTGCTGCTCTTTAAAACGTACTAGGATGAAAAGTGAAATTCTGAAAGCAATCTTTGTACAGCAAGCAACAAATTCAATTTACATACAGATTTAGTATACCATGGTTAAATGAGAGCCACGCACGCACGCACGCACGCACGCACGCACGCACTGACGGTTAACCACTTTACATTTGTGTGAATTTTCTATAAAAATGAGTGTTCACACACTTTGTCATGTGCCCTTTGTTTCAAGCATGGTATTTTTGGTGAACAATTTTCACCACTAAGTACTTGGCCTAAACAAAGAGCAGATTCTTTGCATTTACAAGCAATTGAACAATTTTGTTCTTGTATGGTCCATGTGGAGAGTAAAACTTCCTCTACTAATGGGACAATGATTTTTGAACATTTTTGATTTTGGACCCATGATCTTGGAATCAACTCGCTGTGTAGATGTATAGTAACTACTGAATAAGCTCAGCAGGTGATTTGTGGTATGCAATGAAGTTCAGTAATGCATTAGTTTGATTTCATTGTCAACTGAACTTGCACAACATGTGTGCATGTGCTGTTGGAGCTCATTGCCGTACATTACAAAAAATTGCGCCAATTCACGGTAACTTGGTTATAGAACTCTAACTTGGCTATTCAATTAACAAGCTGCCCCGCGTCTGAAATTTTTCACTCCAGGTCAAGTTTAGAAATGCCTGCATTTGT